TTCCCCAACACTGGAGTTACAGATGCATGATGCTATGCCCAGCTTTTACCTGGGTGCTGGTGACCCAAGCTTATAGCCTCATGCTTGTGTAGCAAGCACTCACTCACTGAGACACCTTCCTATGCCTCTTTCTGAAATGTGTAAAGTCCATAGTATTACACCTTTCTCCATTGCTATGGTCATTGATGTGTTTTTTCCTCCCTGTTTTCTGATTGGTCTTGATGGGATCTATTACATTTTCTTGTTTTTATACATACTACTTTTATTGTCTTTTAAAAAATAGAATCTTTATTTAGTCTTTGACTGTTCCATACAATGTAACTTGATCATATTCACCTCCAAATTCCCTCTCCAACTTTCTCTAGGGAGCCCACACCTTGCCCCCACTTTGGTCATCCACTATGTCCAATCAGTGCTGCATGTTGGAGTGCTGTGGCCTTGTTGCCTTGGTCTCGTGCAGGGACCTGCAGCTTTAGTGAGTTCATGTGTGCCGTGGCCATGGCATGTCCAGAAGACAGCACTTCACAGCACTCCTCCCCATCCTCCAGCTCTTATTTTTTCTGCTCCTCCTGTGACATTCCCTGAGCCTTGGTGGGTGGTTGACATAGAAGTCCCATTTAGGGCTGAGTACTCAGTAGTCACTTATTCTCAGCACTGCATTAATTCCTGTCCACTGTAAAGAGAAGATTCTCTGGCCAAGATTGAGGGCAGTATTAGTTTACGTATATAAATATAAATATTTAGAAGACACTTGGATAACATGTCTATTTAGCAAGTTTTTGTCTTTCTTTTTCTGCTGTTGAAAATCTTTATCTAACCTTCCTTTCATGTGATTGTCTTTTCTTTCCCTTTCTTTGCATACAGAACATTGTTTCATTGTAACACTTTCAAAGAAAATTTGTTTTGTTGATCCTGTACCCTGCTTTTCACCCCTAGCAGCCTGCCCCTATTTTGCTATATATATTTTTAAACTATCAAGTTTGACTTAGAACATGTATTTAAACTTTTATCTCCTTGTATATCTGGTGCTTTCAATTTTCTTACAGTTTCATTCAGTAAGCTTTCCTCTTTAATCCAAGGACTTTAGATGTGTATTTTCTGTTTAATCCAATAAAATAAAACAAAATTTAAAAGAAAAAAGACCTCATCATGGAAGCTGTAGTATGGCCCAGTGAGTCACACAGTACACTCTTTAGTGTAGCTGAAGTTTTCTCCAGTCCTGCCTGGCCCACGATCAGGACAAATCTCTCTCACCCGCCACTCCCGCAGCCACTCAGACCCAGCTGAGTAAACACACAGAGACTTATATTGCTTACAAACTGTATGGCTGTGGCAGGCTTCTTGTTATCTAGTTCTTCTATCTTAAATTAACCCATTTCTATTAATCTATACTTTGCCACATGGTTCGTGGCTTACCAGTAGGTACTTTACATCCTGCTCCTCATCATGGAGGCTGGCAGCATCTCCTCTTCCTGCCTTCCTGTTTTCCCAATGCTCCTCTTTGCTAGTTCCGCCTATACTTCCTGCCTGGCTACTGGCCAATCAGTATTTTATTTATCAATAAATCATAGCAGCATATATTCACAATATACAGGACATCCCACAGCACTTTAGTCCATCCATCTTTACTAGCAAGTGTTCATTGCAATGAGCCATTGGTCTGGCTTGATATCTCTGGCTTCTGCTACACTATCAATACCGGGCCCTCACTGGGACTCCTCTTGGATATCCTGTTGTTGCCCTGTGTCATGGAGATCCTGCAGCTTTGGATCTGCAGGACCAGCCCCTTCACATGCTCCAGCAGTTCACAGATGAGGTGGATATTAGAGTGGCCAACTCATAGCTCTAGTTCTGGGCCTGGGTGTTAGTTGGGTTGGTTAGCCCACCAGCTCTCCCTCATCCTCATCACCAAGGCGAGCTCTCCAGCATTGCCCAGGCTGGCTCACCCAATGCAGTTGGTAGCAAGGAGCAGGACCAGTTCTTCTGTTCTCATGCCCTCATGAGGCCCGACTCACCGGCACCTGCACTACCTCTCCTATCCTCCTTCTTCTCAGTTTTAATGTCTAGCTTTCTTGCTCTGTAGCTGGAGAATATGCTCTCAAGACTTTGAGTCTTGAGCTCATTGAAGCTTGTCTATGACCTTGCATATGGTCGGTCAGTTTTGATAAGTGGTTCATGAATTCTTGAAAATAATATGAATTTTGTCATGATAGGTTGCATTAATGGCAATTTGTCAATTTGGGTTAATGTGTGTATTTTCTTCATCCTTATTGATGTTGATGTTCTGTTAGCTATTGAATGATTATGTACCACCATGATTGAGCATTTTTTCCCTTTAATTCTGTTCTCTCTCTTTCACACATACATTTGATGCATGCACATTTAAAGTTATCATATGCTCCTGAAAGCTTGATTTCTTTATTAATACCCCATCTTAGTCTTCATAGTGATTCTTGCCTCAAAACCTGTTTCATCTGATATGAGTATACCTACACTAGCAATATTTTGGCAAGTGCTTGCATGATATATCTTTGTCTTTTGAATTTTTATTTATTGGTGGAGAGTGGACATGTCATGATGTAAATGTGGAGGTTGGAGGAAATCTCAGGAGCTGGTTCTCTTCTACTGTGTAGGTCACTGGGATTGAACTCGGGCCATGAGGCTTGCAGCAAGCCCCTTCACCTGTTAGGTGTCTCACTGGCTCTGCATGTATAACTATCAAACTTTCTCATGTTCAGATACTCAAGGCTATTTGGAGAGCAGTAGTTTTTTAATCCAGTCTGATAAGCCTTTTCCAATTGAACTATTTTGCTATTAGATTTAGTGTAACTATATTTGTATTTTATCTTATTGTTTATGCTCTCTATACCCCGTTTGTTTTGCTTTCATTTGATTTCCTTCCTTCCTTTTAGTTGAAAATTTTGCAGTTGAATTTTCTTTCTCCTAGCTTGTTTTACTTCTGTGTTATCTTATCCTTCAATGATAACTTAGAAAATACAACAGGCATCCTTACCACTGTCTAGTAAAACTATCATTATGACTTCTTTCTCAGTAGTAGAAGGAACTGAAAACACTTTAAGTCGTTCTTTTTCGTCTTTTGTGTTATCCTGCCATAACTTTATCATACACAATTTTTCAACCCAACAAGATATTATCAATATTGTGTAGCATTAGTGTCTATTTTTATGTATTCACAGAGTACGTCTTTTAATGTTGGTCGCTTGTTCTAGGCTTGTTTGTTTCTGCCCAGGATCTCATTTTTCTTTATTAGAAGAACTTCCTTCCAGAACGTGTTTAGTACATTCCAGCAGGCAAGGAACACTCTGTTTTTATTTTTCTAAAAATGTCATTATTTTATATTTATTTGAAGAAATTCATCATCGTGGATGCTGAAAAATCTAACTGTATTATATTCCTATATAAGATACCATTTAATACTCTTATAGATGGACACAGAATAGATTGAGTTTCAAATACTTTCTTATTTACAGGATTTATGCTGATATTGGTGCTCTAGTCAGGTCTGTGTAATTGTTTCTAATATTGTCTTTCTTTCTAATTGAAATAATAGAGGGTTTGGAAGGAAAATGCTTTAATTCAATAGTCAGTTCTACCATTTACTACTGTGTGACCTTGACCAAGACCCTTAGCTTCTCAGAGCCAATTTCCTTGTCTACATTGGCTCCATTTCACTGGGGAAGTCTGAGTCCCTCTTGTGATATACATGAAAGTGCTTTGATTGATGTACATGAAAGTGTTTTGTAATCAGCCAGAAAGCTTTAGTGTTATTGTTGCTTACTGGAACAGAAACATCTTCAGTGTGCACATTCAGAATCCTCTTGCATATGTGCACTTCCATAAGAAACCATGAAATAAATTCTATGTTCATGTGCATATATATATATATATATATATATATATATATATATATATATGTGTGTGTGTGTGTGTATGTATGTTATTCATATATATATTATATTATACATACATATATATATTCCCCTTACTAAATGCTGTGTCCAAAGTTATATAACATATAGCTTAAAAACACTCTATCATAAACTCATTTGTTTTCATCTTTCAAGCAACCACTATGAAAAGGGGAATCTGGCTGTTGCATAATTCAAAATGCCCCTAAGATAAAAATAGCCCATTGTTTCTTAATACTGAGCTCAGGGAAGACTTTAACGTTCATTGTCTTTATAATGTGGAACTGTTAAGAGCATGTTTCTGCCAGCTCAGAAGGTACCAGTTGGCATGGTTAACCCACCTTGGCGTCGGGCTGATCTCTGATTTTGATCTTCTGTCTCATGATCCCTCAGGGAGGGTTATACATTTTAATGTGAGCTGCAAATAGTTTCTCTCCCTTTCTACTTGCAAATGGATTCTATTCAGAAAACTAATAAATAATGGCAGCCTCCTTTTCAACATGCACAGTACACACAGAGGGCAGGTCAGGCTGGTAAATTAAAATTTTATTCTGCATACATAACTTAAAACACTACCTTAGGTAGGTAATATGTAGCCTCATTTTGCTTTTCTTTCATAGAAGCTAATTTGAAAATTCCTGGCTACATTAATCAAATTTTAGACTCTTCACTCTGTGCAGACATCTTGCTATTGGACTGTTTATTTTTCCTTTGGAAAAAGTAGTATTCAGATTTCTCCCTGTACTTCATCCTTTTATGGGTCTTGGATTTGTGTGCTGCATGCCTACATGCATATGAATGTGCCTGTGTGTGTCTGTCTGTGTGTTTGTGTGTGTGTCCCTGTCTGTCTATTTGTCTGTCTGTCTTTTGGATCTAGGTTTTTCTTGGAAAATATGTTGTCTGTAAACAAACTCAAATAGATGTTGGTGCATTGTAACTAATGCCCCAGTATCTCTGAGGTTTACTTACTTACTTACTTACTTATTTGTTTGTTTGTTTGTTTTTCATGATGGACACATTTTACATGGGACATTTGTTCTTTGTTTAAATGTTTTGTTTTTTTGCCTACAGGTCACTGGCATGCATTTTATATGAGATGTGTTGCATGGATCATGCATTTGCTGGTTCCAGTTTCTTGTCTGTAGTTTTAAATATTGTTGAAGGCGACACACCTTCACTTCCTGAGAGATACCCACAAGAACTAAACACCATCATGGAACGGTATGGAAGTGAGTCTGAAAAAGACCATTTGAAGTTTCGCTCCTATATTTAAAATAAACTTAGGTTTTTATTCATTTGAAAAATAATTTTCTTTTTGAATATTACAGCATGTTGAACAAGAGTCCTTCACTGAGACCATCTGCTGTAGAAGTTCTAAAAGTCCCTTACATTGACGAGCAGCTTCAGGTACTGGAAATCTGAGTGGTATCACGGCTAACATTCTGTGCCCTGAGGTTATGCTGTGGGACTGAGATGTGGTTAAGAATCAGCCAGAAAGGAGGAAATCAAGATTTAAGTGAAGCCAAGAGGAACACTAGGAAAATCTCTTTGCAAAGGAGGCTACACAAACTCTGGTTACTTGATGCCACCAGACATGGGAAGTCAGAGCTTTAATTTTCTGCCTAAAACCCTTATTATCCACCCAATGTCCCTGAGATTGGCAGATCTCACCTGAACACTTTGAACTCTGTCCCTGTTGGTACAAGAACATACTCTAATAGTAAGGAAATCTGGGGTTTTCACTGAGCTGTTATTGCTCCCTCCTTTAGGACATGACTTAGCACATTCAGTTGGCTCGGTGTTTCTTTTCTTTTTCTTTGCATTAGAGAGCTTGATTAGACAGAGGACCTGCCTGCCTGGGGTGTAAGAAGCAGACTGTCCTCTCCAAGGCTTTTCCTTTTTTAATGGACCTCTCAGGCTTTAGCTAACCCCTCAGCAACTGTAACAGGAACCACCAGGTCACTGTCTTGTTAACAAGTGCCCGCTTTTCAGCAGTGGATGAAGATGTAAATCCCGAGGATGCAAAGATAAGAACGAGGTGTGCTCAGCCAGGAGGCACAGTGTCTCACCTCGGGCAGACTGAAGGGAAAGGACCAGGCATGGCCGGTTCTACTGAAGTTTGACTGCTGTAGTAAGAGTTCAGTAGCCAAAGCTAGGAAACATGAAAATGCTAGCAAGAACAAAGAGGAAAGGAGACTGGTGCTGGAAAAAAAAAAAAGAAGAGAGCGAGAAGCGCTCCTTGGGAGTCAGAGGAGTAATGCCGTCTTAACACTGGGAGGAGGCAGCCATGGAAGCCGTCTAGGAAGGAGGCTTGAAGAGGCTCAGATGCCCCGGACCTAGAGTTACAGACATTTATGATGTACCATGTGGGTGCAGAAAAACAAACCAGTGCTCTGGAAGGGCAGCCAGTGCTTTGAACTGCCGAGCCATCTCTCAAGGTCTTGAGTATCTCAAAATCAATATCTCCTTGATAGCAAAATAGAAAAATTTAAAGACAAACTCCAACAAGGCCAGGATTAGTGAGATGCAAGCAGGGTGTAGTTGCTCAGGTGCAGGGTTGGATCTTGTCTGTTAATGTTTGGAATTACATTCTTCATGGGTTTGGGCATTGATTTTGATTTTACAGATGATGCTGTGCATTAAGGAAGCATGTCCCCTGCTTGCTGAGGTCTGGGTTACACCCCTAGCTAAGGGTCTCATTTGCCTAATGTCCATTTTATCGGGGGTGGGGTGGACATTGTCTACTAAAGGCTGAGGGGTGGGTGTTCCTAGATCGAAGGGAAGGCCTGTTGGTGAGGGGAATGGGTGAAGAGGGAGAAACAGAGCAAGGTGAAGTTAGAGAGGAAGGCAGGAGCTACTTCTGGGGAATCTTCTCATGCAACCTGCTTATATCCTTATTTAATCCTTAGAAGAGAGAAGAACCAGCTACTGTGAGTTTTATCTTAAAGTGCTTTGCCATGGTCAGGAAGAGCGTCAGTCAGAAAGGCACATGGCACCTTCCCGCCCTTCCTTTGCTGACAAAGGACCTTTAAGATCACAGTGGTTTTCTTTTATTTCAGCACCTGATGTGTAAATATTCAGAAATGACGCTGGGAGACAAGAACTCGGTTTGTCAGAAGGATGCTGTTCATATAATTAATGCCATGTAAGTAATTGCTTTGTTTTTTAAAAGCCCATCCGGTGGAAATGCTAAGTGCATTGGTCTTTAAAAATCTATTAGCGCTAAGCTGACTGCGTGGGGCATCCTCGATTTCACTTAAGTCTTGCCAAGAAATTAAGAAGCTTCGGTAATGTGGCATTCCAAAACTGTCTGCCCCAGGTGGTAGCAGGCTGAAATCCTGAGCGTCTAAACTTCTGCACAGCTCACAGATCTGCAGGGCAGCACAGCAGTTGCCCTGTGAGTGCTTAGAGAAAGAGTATCTCAGACATTTAGGAATGTTTATGCTAATGAGCCTTCTATCAGAAACCTAAATGGCTTCATATAGTGTTTGTTTAACCGACAGAGTGTGTATCTACCGAAAGAGAGTGTTGTAGGCATTTAGGGGGAAAAAAGCCAAAATTCACTTTCTTCACATATTATGCACCCTCTTATAAAAAAAGATAAGAGGAAGTACATTTCCAAAAGAACAACAATAATCTCTTTTTTCTCATTCAAGAAATGATTTTGCTTTGACTTGTAAAAGCCCAAATGGTGGGAAGCTCCAGAACAGCACTGTCGACCTGTGCGACAGTGAATGGCAGATGCAGGGGACCTGCTTCTTAAAGACTGAATCTATGACTTGTTGATGGAATGCTATTTAATTTTATAAGGAGCTAAAGACAATGGTTCTACCTCTCCAGTGCTGTGCAAAGCAGTGGTGTGAGAACAGGAACCCCCAGGCTGACCTTCAAGCCAAATAGCCAGGAATTCTCTTGCTCTCTGCTGACACACTCCAGTGCAGACACTCTCCTCTGACACACCCCAGTGTAGACACTCTCCTCTGACACACCCCAGTGCAGACACTCTCCTCTGACACACCCCAGTGCAGACACTCTCCTCTGACACACCCAAGTGTAGACACTGTCCTCTGACACACCCCAGTGTAGACACTGTCCTCTGACACACCCCAGTGTAGTCACTCTCCTCTGACACACCCCAGTGCAGACACTCTCCTCAGACACACCCCAGTGTAGACACTCTCCTCTGACACACCCCAGTGTAGACACTCTCCTCTGACACACCCCAGTGTAGACACTCTCCTCTGACACACCCCAGTGCAGACACTCTCCTCTGACACACCCCAGTGTAGACACTCTCCTCTGACACACACCCCAGTAGTTTCTCAACTGTGTCTTATTTGATTTCCCAGCCTATCATTCAACCTAAACAAATGGGCACCTGGAAGAGATCCCTTGTGGTAAATTTATAGACATGGTTCTAATATGATTATTTTCTTGTGTTGCTACCCATTCTTTCAAGCAAGTCTGAGTTTTATTTTTGTTTATTAGAAATGTGAGAGCAGAGCTTATCATATTTTTAAAATAGTAAGTTAGTGTAGCTGTCATTTTGCACAGTGGTTGTGGAACAGTTGCCCGACACACTTTACAGTCAATGGTGTGCTGGAATTCAGTCGTCGGGAGGGCATTGCACACTATAAAATATTGATTTCAACTAGTCCCCTTTATTTTCAAGATCTGTGACTATGTTTCAGGGGGAGTCCATAAAACAAAGTCATAAAACAAAGGGGTGCATGTTCCTGAAAATTGTCCCTTCCTGGGACACTCTGGTCTCGATAATATTTAATTTCTCACAGCATTTCTTCAGGAAGAAGCTGAGGGCAAAGAGCCTTCTGAAGTATTTGTCCCTAACAAAGTCAGGAGTGGGAGGAGCGGTCACTGGGAATGGAGCCACATCCTTGTTTGTGTAAGCAGTTTCTGCAACTGAACAAAGAGATTCTTCAATAAATGAAGGATCCCCCTATGAAGTAGGTGCTACTGTTCTCTTTTATAGTTACACAGAGACTCCATCACCTCCCAAAGACATGCAGAGTGTAACCTGGGAGCTAGGCTTTGAGCCCAGCAAGTGTTACTAACCTTCACCATTACCCACTGGACCATACTACCATAAAATACCCATTAGAGTTAGCCCAGAATATAAGCCGTTCAAGAAAATACAGTTGTTAGAATACCACCGTCAGACACTGTGCATACATTATCTCATGTGATACTCACCGTAGCCCACTCTTTACAAAGGAGGAAACCTGGATTCACTTTCTGGCCCTTAGCTACAGAAAGAATGGGTGTTGGAGGTAGGATTCACCGATTTTCAAAGACCGTGACCTAATAATACACGTAGATGAGTTACTCTGGTGGCCTATTTACTCTCTGATGGCCAAGATCCCAATTTGTCTTACATTATAAAAACCAGCCACAGGCAATGAAATGAGCAGAAATTTGGAAAGTACACAATTTGCTTTTAAGCAGAAATCTAATTTGAAAAATAACGCTGATTAACTCCAGTCCTTGTTGGCTCATTACCCACTCGGAGTTTATTAGATTTTCCTGGCCTGCCTCGAGACGCTGTTGCTCTCTCCATAGAGCAATGATACTTCTGTAAAATATTTGTTTAATTTTTTTTTCTGAGCATGTTTGGTATGAGTTGCATGTTGGGGAATGTTTATTACTTATAGGCAGAGAAAGATTCACCTGCAGACTCTGCAAGTCCTGTCTGAAGTGCAGAAAATGACTCTGAGAGAAAGGATGTAGCTGAGGACGCCACAGGCAGCTGATGAGAAAGCCAGGAAGCTGGCATGAGCTGCCTTTCCTTGGGCTACCCCGTGCCCGGCTCTGCCTAACAGTGCTGTCAAAGACCTCCCAGGAGGAAGGCAAAGGCTGGAACCAAAGCACATATGATGACTTGTTTATTCACTCACCTGTTCCCCCAGACATGATCACTGAGCCATAGATTGGATGTCAGGGGCTATTTACCTCAGGTTTTCAGTCCTGTGTGAAGCAAACATGGAAAGGTAGGGAGGTTACCAGTGACGAAAATGTGCTCAGGCTCTAAATGAAATCTCATTGCTGCTGACACTTGGACCCATCCCATCCAGAAGCTGAACAGACAGCTTAGTATTTGACTCTGTATTGGTTACTTTTCCCACTGCTGTGATAAAGTGCCCTTGTTACCACTTCCCTCCACCGCAGTGCTCACATATTCCCTGACATGTCCATTGTTCTTGTTCATGGGCTTGCTCATCAACATTGGGGTAGTCGCATCTTCACAGTCAGGATGCTCAGGGGTGAGTGTTATCTTCTCATGATATCCCAGGAGTTCCAGAGTTGACTGAGGAGCCATAGTTTCCTTGTGTGTACTTTGAAAGAAGATCACTTAAATTTACAAAGACAATCATTTGAGGGTCTGCCCCATGAGGGACAGACATGATGGCCTGGCTTCCTGATAACCTGGTCTGCCGTTAAAACAGGGAATGTGTTTATTTGTATACTATAGATATGAACTAAGCAATTTGTACTGATTTTTATACATTCACATTAAATTTACAGAAAGATTGTGGAAGAAAAATATAAAGAAAATAACAAATGGATGCAGGAATCGAGATCCCAGAATTTTGAACATCCGAGCGTCAATGTGCCCCATGTAAGCACCCCTGTTTCATGTTTACATGGAGTGTTTCCTTGCTTTGGGTCCCTCAGATTCATCAGGCTAAGTGTGTAGGAAAAGAGTAGAAAATGAAACACCCAGAGCAACTTGGCCCAACTCCAGGCAGGGTTCTACAAGTGAGCCAACAGCTGATGGCAACCCTGATTCAAAGCAGCTAACATCTGGAAGTGGACCAGTTGATTCAGTCATCACATATGGAGTGGCTACTGTTTACAAGATAACTGAATGGTCACCGAATGCAGAGATTATGGTTAAGATGATTAATTAACAGATTAATTAAATAGACACATATCTGATTTCCACTTCTATCCATTGTGCTTTGCCACTCTAGTCTGCCAATCCCCTTTTGTCTTTTTATTTTTTAAACTTTTATTTTCTGTCTCCTATCCATATCATCATGCACTGTGATAATAACGTCACTCAAACTGAAGAACTACTACAGATATAATGAATAAATAGAGTTGCAGGACCCCTCCTCCTGTTCTTCTGTATTTGAAATCTCTGAGTGGCAAATACTATTTTCATCCATGGTTGAGAATATCTCTCGGGCCTTGGTAGTAGGATCTGATACAAAGGTAGTCTATGTGAGGGGTCATTTGGGGCAGTTGACATCTACATCAACCTCATAGCTCTTCTAATAAAAGTACATTGGGGTAGAAAATGTTTACAATGTTCATCCAGAGGAGATCTCTGCATCTGAGATCCTTTCCTTGAACAGAGAGAACCAAGCCTTGAGACTGTCGAACAATGCCCTGAACCTCAGTGTTGCTAATTCTGTGACTTAGCTTAGTCACTACATGCTTCCAAATCCTGGGCCAAGTGGAAGCCTGAGCAAATCTTTCTCTTAGAAGAGCAAGGCCTAGGAACACTAGTTTTCTGTCCCTCTTTGAGCAAGACAAGGCTCATCTATCTTCCTCAAGTGCTTAGAAGATCAGATAATCCAAAGTTGGATTCCACAGTAGATCTCGTCTTCTCTATGACCTTATGGGTCTCTTAAGGGTTCTGCTTAGTGAACTGGTCACCAGTTATGAGTGCTGGTGATGAGTACTCAACCCTACCCTGTGTTCCACCTTTCTGGTAACCCCATTTAGTGAAGCCATTTGTGGCATCTGCTCCTTGGTCTCAGAGACTTGGGAAACTATGAGAGAGGTCTTTCCTGCTCATGGACACTGACAAGTAGAGAATTGCTGCCTGAAAGGACATGGGGTCAGCAACAGGATCAGGTCTCAACAAATAAAAAAGTCTTCATGCCACCAGTAGGGAAGAACCCATGCCCTCAGGGAAACTGGGTGCCTTGCTTCAGCACCCAGACACTCGTAGGCACTGTGAAGGTGGCCAATGACAGTAGGTCTCTGTCCCTGCCTATGCTTTGTCCCTGCCATTCAGGACTGAAAACCAAGCATTCCCAAAGATCTAGACAAGGAAGCTGACAGGATTATGAAGGTTCTGTGTTTGTGAATGTGTGTTAACTGTTTGTTCAATCACCAAAATAAACTGGGGTGTTTATTTATGGAATGCCAGGAACCCTTGAGATCAGAGAGATTTCTTTGCTAGGACTAGAGCTTGAGAACTGGATATAGTCTTTTTTTTTTTGTATTATGAAGCCTAAGTGAACGACCTCCCTCCTCCCTCCCTTCCTTCTTTCCTCTCTCCCTTCCTTCTTTCCTTCCTTCTAGACAGGGTCTTACTATGTGACCCAGACTGGCCTTAAACTCTCGAGCCTCCTGCCTCAGCCTCTCAAATGCTGAGATTACAGGCCTGTAAAGCCACACCAAGCTCTGCTTTTGTTTTGAAGTTATCATATGGCAAATAAAAAGTAAGGCCTTATGTATTCGTAACTGATCATCTATGTTACCTCTTTACTTTTCTTCTTTGATCCTTGTGTCTGATGTAATTATTACCAGTAGTGTGAGCGATCGAGCATGCTGTGTGACACATGGAGTTGTTGAACAACTGTGAAAGCCAAAGCCTTTTGGGAACCTCTGCAAATTGGGGTATTAGGGTAATAAAGATATCCTCAAGACTACATGCCAGGCAGAGCCTGAAGGGATTTTGTTATCCGTATGTTATCACACAGAACGTGGGGCCAGAGAAACTGTCTTTATTTTGGCCCAGCTCAGATTAAGAAAGATTTTTGTATTATGTATTTTTTGTATCTCGATGCTGGGACAAAGTACCTGACAAAAGCGACTGACGGAAGGGCTTTGCTTTGGGGGGAGTTTGGGAACTCATACTTTGAAAGGACAGTCCAGTGTGGCCGAGAGGCTGTGATGGCAAGGACGTTGTGTCTGCACTCAGGAAGCAGGAAGAGATGAATGCCATTACCTCGCTGGCTCCCTCCTTCCTTTCAGCCTAGGACCCCAGCCTGCGGGCTAATGCTGCCCACATTCAGAGTAGGTCTTCTTCTCCAGTTCAGCTCTTGAGAGTTCAGAAATAAGATTGACCATTATGCTTTCCTTCCTCTCAGCAAGTAGTGTGTGTGTGTGTGTGTGTGTGTGTGTGTGTGTGTGTGTGTGTGTGTACAATCCTGTCCTAGCTAAAGATTTTGGTTCATTCTTTGAGTTTTCCGAGGTTTAGTACCCACTGTCTCTGGTCCTGAACTTTTCAGAAGTGTTTCCTAAGTTTGTATGTGGACAGGAGCATTGTTAGCATGGCCACATAAGAACAATAGGTGATCCATTGTTAGCGCCCTTCTCTCTTTCAGAGGCCACGTTGTCTTCAGGAAAACCTTCTGACCTCTCAGGTCCACAACCAGCTGGCTCTCTTCTAAATTCTGTGACTTAAATTCTGTGGCTTATCTAAATTCTGTGACTTAAATTCTGATTCTGTTGGTCTGGGGCAGGGCCTGGGCTGTCAAATTTCTAATAAGCTCCCCTTTGTTTCTGATGTTGCTGACCAAGAATTACAACCCATTAACTAGGGGTAGAAAGGGGGGCTCCTGAACATGACCATCCCCCTCTAGATGAAGGAAGAGCTTAAAATGACACCAATGAACAGATCTCTTATCTCTTTAGAGGAAAAAAATCATTTAATGGGAATGGAAGCAAAGGAGGTGTGACCCGAGGGTAAGGCTTTCTTGTTCACCCCAGGAGGAGGAGGAGGAGGAGGGAGAGGGGCAGCCAGGCAGGTTTAATCATACTCACAGGCACAAGAGGGAGACAGGCTTAATGATATTCACGGAACAAAGGAAGAAGCTAAACACTTTGCAGAGGCCTGACGGGTTTTCATCATCCCAGGGAAAGGCATTGTTGAGCTAAAAAGGATAAAATAAAATATGACAGAAAGTGGATTAATCAGATGCAGGAGATTGAAGGAAAATTCGATAAAGGAAAATGCACCTGTCTTTGTATTTCCTTGCCCCCTCTTCTCCACATGTTGATGGCTTCATTTCTTCCTAATCTCATTGAAGCTCTGCTCGCAAATCCTTCTCCTTTCTCTCTTGCCAGGCTGGAACAAACTCTCCTGTGCTTCATTGTGGAAAGTGTGTTGGTTGGACGTTCATGTGTGTGAATGTATGTGAAGAACAGAGGTGGATACTGGGCTCCCTCTCTATTCCTCTCTACCTTATTTTGTGAGATAATAATGTCTTTCACTCAATCTAGAGCTCATTAACCATGCTATGCCGGCTGGCCAGCAAGCCCTGGGGGAACTTGCTGTCTCTACCTCTTCAGCTCTGGGATTAACATCTGCTTTTTTTTTTTTTTAAATACAGATGCTAGGGATCTGAATTCAGGTCCTCATGCAAGCACTTAGACAACTGAGCCTTGTCTCCAGAACTCCCTTCATGTATTTCAGAAGCAGTTGTAGAAGGGAGAGTTTTGAGAGTGAATGGTGCCAGTTTGTCATATGCTATGAAAATTCCTTGAGGCATTTAGGAGAGTGGCTTGATTCGTTCTTAGACTTTAATTGACAATGTATTTATTTTGGCAGGCATTCTCTGCTTGGTTGAATTTGGGTTTTGAAATCTTGAAGCACAGTTGAGTGTGGAATCATGTTTGACTCCATTTCTTAAGAGGATGGTAGCTTTAAAAAACCAACCAACCAATACAATACAGAAGGCAAACCCAGGCTGTCCTTTTTCCTGTGGCATGTCCAGCTGTGCTGGTGCTGGGCTGCTGTGAAAAGTACCCAGCAGACCAGGACTCCAGTGTGTGCTGGGAACAGGGATAAAGATCAGACCAGTGCTTCTCTTTCTAAGAGAGGCAGCTACAGCAGCCCTGTCCTCTTCGAAGAGAACCTCAATGAGTCACAGTCATTTGAGAGTCCGAGAGCTCCTTTTCCAATGCCTTCTGAAGCACATGCAGCAATGGTCTCCTGCAGTCTCCTTGTTCTCTGGGTTCTCCAGGTACCATCAGTGAACCTGTGCAGTCTGATCCAGCTGGACCTCCTTAAACACTTATCACAGTACAGAAAGACTCCTTAGCAATACTTCCTGAGTGCATTCTCACAAATGCCTTGCGGTGGTGGGGCATGGCTTCATGTGACTTTCTCATTTAATACTATTTTAGATTTTCCCTTTAATTTCTTTCTTTTTTTAAAAAATTTTTTTTTGGTTTTTTAAGACAGGGTTTCTCTGTGTAGCTGTGGAGCCTGTTCTGGAACTCACTCTGTAGACCAGGTTGGCCTTCAATTCACCGAGATCTGCCTGCCTCTGCCTCCCAAGTGCTGTGATTAAAGGCATGTGCCACCACAACCCAGCTTTAATTTCTTTCTTAACAAAAGGCTTTCTTGGAATAGTTACCACCATGAAAGCTGCTTATCAGAGGAAATAAGACAATTCAGTATTAGATTTAGTTTGCAAACACACACACATGTAAAAAAAATAAAACAAAATGACCTTCCCATTAATATATTTGGGCACTTTACCTTTTATTTTCATTATTTAGTTACTTTTGTTTGTTGAAGTAGCATCTCATGTTTCACAGGCCCACTTCAAACTCACTGTTTAGTCCAGTGTGACTTAATGCTCCTGCCTCCACCTCTGTGGTGGTTTGAAGGAGAGTGCTGCCCCCACCCCAGGCTCATATATTTGAATCTTTAGTCACCAGAGAGTGGAACAGTTTGAGGAAGATTAGAAGGATTAGGAGATGTGGCCTTGCTGGAGTAGTCGTGACCTTATTGAAGGAACTGTGTCGCTGGGAGTGGACTTTGAGGTTTCAAAAGCCCATGCCAGGCCCATTCTCTCTGTCTCTCTGTCTCTGTCTCTGTCTCTGTGTCTCTCTCTCTGCCTGCTGCCTGCAGATCAAGATGTAAAGCTCTGTTACTGCTCCAGTGTCTTGTCTGTCTACTTCCTGCCATGATAACCATGGGCTAACCCTCTAAAACTGTAAGCAAGCCCCTAATTAATTTTTTTAAAAAATAAGAGTTGCCTTGGTCATGCTGTCTCTTCATGGTGATAATGCAGTAGCTAGACAGCTTCTCTAGCTAGAACTTTAGGCATGTGTCACCCCTCCTGGTTTATGTGGTGCTGGGAATTGAGCATAGGACTTCTTTTATTCCAGGGAAACATTCTACCAGCTAGCACACATGTCCAACCTCACCTTTTATGTTTTTGAAGCGCAAATCCCTTCATCATCTCTTAGATATTTGTATTTTAGGAAATTGAAATGCTTAGACTCTCAGGACTTGTAAATCCAGATAAGACCTGGAAGTCATCAAGTCAACTCTTCTAGTTTTGAAATGAAACTGAGAATGGATGGGATAAGGATAAGTTAGGTGGGATACAGTGGGTGCACATTGGAGAGAGGTACTTGCTTCTAGCTGCTGTTGGAGCCTATACTTGCCTGAGCCTTTGACTTGGCTCCCTGGGTATATTGTTTGGCTCGCCTAGCTATGGCCTAGAAGTTGATTTCTACAGAGGCTAAATGCTTTGCCCAAGGTCACTGTCTGGTTCAGGACTGTTTCTCTTATGCCAAGTTACCAACCCAAAGTTTGAAAATGCAATCAGGCTTAAGGAAGAAGAATGTTGCCTCATTTGTGGCAAAGCCATTTCCTTCTGTCCACGTCTCATGATTTGTTAATTCCCTTCCACAAGGAATTAGATGAACGGACTTCAGAGAACCTGCCTGAGCCTCATTCTCTTCCTTCCCTGGACCTCGATGAAGTTGAACCAAGTTTGGATGACACCATAGTTGGCCTTGGACATTATGGTATGTGTTTGTGTCATCTGTCAGCAGGGTGCTTATCTGGTCTCTGAGAGAAGTCCTGGGCGTATGTGACTATCTGCCATTGCTGTTCAGAGTTGGGCTGTGATGCTCAGGGCCTTCTGTCCTCTCTGTCTTCATGGCAATAGTGAAGATGAGTCAGAAACTCACTTCAGGTGAGAGACTTCTTCTGACTGGGTTAAACAATGCTGTCATTAACCTGATTAACAATTCCCCAAAGTTCTACTCCCTTCTTTCATGAATGACTCCCCTGCTCCTCTGGCACATTTAAATTGAAGGCGTGAACCAACTTTGCAAGATCCACTATTCAGATGTGCAAGACTTGCCAGAAAGTAAGAGTGTTTGGAGCTGTTACCCTGCTGGAGGTGCTGCATGCCATCTAGAGAGGAAGGCCCTGGCTACCTGGTCTTTCTGGGTCTTTCTTATCTTATCCATAGAACAGGAATAATGATCCCTCCTTTCATGACTATTATCAAGAGAAAATAAGATTGTGTATGGATGTTCTCTTAGCTTCTTGCCTAGCACAGTAAGAGCTGAAAAAAGAAGCAGTTACAGAAAGGCCATCCCACAGCACTTCCCCTTTTCTGTCTAATCAATAAGGAAGGTGAGGCTTTTTGTTGAATATGTGTTGCTACTATTGGTTAATAAAGAAGTTGTTTTGGCCTATGGTAAGGCAGGATAAGAGCCACGTGGAAAATCCAGGAGAGATACAGGGAAAAGAGGGTGGAGTCAGGGTAGACGTGATCCAGCTGCCCAAGGAGCAGCAAGAGCCAACAGACCAGTAATGCCACAGCCATGTAGCAACACATAAATGAATAGAAATGGATACATTTAAGATGTAATAGCTAGCTAGCAAAAAGCCTGAGCCATAAACCAAATAGTTTGTAATTAAAAAGAAAAAGAAGCAGTTGCAGTTACAACACTTTGAGGATCCTTTGAATGCAAGAGTCTCCTTGGTCTTGGTCACAGTATCCCTCTTGCCTAGGATAACACACCAGGGATATATTATATTATACTCAGTACTTCTTGAATGAATGAGTGTATTAATTAGTGAGTAGACGAAGAAGTGAATATATGATACACTAGTTTAGACCCTTAAGAAACAAATGACAAGCCAAGACTAAAATGCATACCTTTTTTTTTTAAAAATACTTGCATGAAAGGAAAAAGCTAGGACAGTGGGGCAGAACCAATGGGCTGCAATCCAAATCTTATGCACGTAGGAAGAGGGGCTGTGCAGTGGAAGATGCCCAGGAGTCCAACCTAGTCAGCTGTTGGTGCCTGCCTGGAGTGGTGGCTTCTGAGAGAATAGGGGACAGCTCCAAGCACAGCAGCTGAGTCACTCTGTCACTCGCTTTCCCTGTAGCTGTGTCTGCCAGGCTTCTCCTCCTGGCACACAATGACAAGGTATGTCCCCAATGCCTGGGTTACAATGTTGTAAACTCTTTGGCGGCAGGGAAACTGGAGGTGCTACATGAAATCTCTTTTCACTAATTAAACAGTAAAGAAGTGAAACTTGGGTTGTGTCTTCATCTCAGCCCAAATTTGCACTTGACGTCTCCGGAACTAGTAGAGTATGGGTCACCTCCTTCAGCTCTATGGAGACTAGCACCTAAAGCTCTTTAAGCTACCAATTGCTGAGTTCAAAGTGATGCTGTGGAGTCCATTGTACAGTAGTCATGATGACAAGGAAATGTTGATGTCAGGTGGATTTGTGATATTTTTCTATTGTATTCTTTGTTTCCATTTGAGAAAAGTAGAGGGAATCAAGTGTTCCAAGGGTTTTTCTTTCCATGAGTAGGAAGCTGAGAAAGTTAGATCTTGTGTAGCCACTGATGTAGATGAGGTAATGCTGGATGGCAGAGTCATTGCTATGAATAGGGGCCCAGGATAGAATAATAAAGTGTCATCTGAGATAGAGTAGTCAGAGTCTGTTCTGATTTCAAAGAGGAAACAGCATCTTTAAATGTGTTTCTGAGAAGAGAAACCAAAGACATGAATGTAGCTAGAGTTTTCCTGCCTGGCCCACAGTCAGGACAAATCTTTGTCACCC